CAGGAAACCACATCGGGACTGTAGTTGGGAGCGGGACATAGGTGAGTGATGCGATATTGTGCCCCAAGACCTGATCACTTTGAATATCACAAGCTCACGGAAGAACGCCCCAGTACCGAAAGAGTAACCTCAGAGTAGAAGTACTGCTTGTTCATATACAGTAGAGTCCGTTACGATTAGCTGCAAAGTTAAAACAAGATCGCGCGACTGGTTCTTGAGACATCCTAAAGGGCAAAAAAAATGTATATGAAGAAAATTTTTGACATACATGTTTTATTTTTGTTTTTTTATTTTGCTATTTTTATTTTGCTATTTTTTTTTTTTTTTCGTGTTTCAAAGATTGCAGATATGCTTGACGTTCTTAACCCTCAGATGATAGCAAATGGAGGGAGAGAGCACACTCAACCAGGTCAGATTCTTAACATTTAACCGAACGTTATTCCTCGCCTCTTCTGCGCAGGCTGGGGAGTAAGCCGGCCTGCTCTTCTGGGGAGGCAATCAATAGGTAATTACTGCGCTGCATTTCAGTATCCTATTATAACTGTGCTTGTCCCGCCCGTCGTTTGTCAGCACGACCGTTATGCCCTGTCACTACCTCATAAATAACGGACTATTCTGCGTTTTGGGCACGTGGAAAAGGCGGGAGGCGGAATACATTACTTGTTTTCAGTAAGAAAATGAAAGAAAGAAAACAAAATGATGAGAAGATAGAAAGATTAAGCTGATAAGAACAGACACTACACTTTGATCGCAACCAAAAGGCCGTGAATCTATATCGACTGAGATAAAAGCGGCATTTTTCAGATGCACAATAATGAACGATGAAAACTAAGGCAAAAAAAATATTTATCATAAATAAAATAACACCGTCTGCTGAATTATTTTAAAATTATCTCTATCTATAAAAGGCAGGATGTGTGTGTGTGTGTGTGTGTGTGTGTGTGTGTGTGTGTGTGTGTGTGTGTGTGTGTGTGTGTGTGTGTGTGTGTGTGTGTGTGTGTAACGAATGCACGGCCGCAATTTTCGACGGATTTGCACCAAAATTTACATGCATATGCTCCAAGTTAGTTGCAAGGCCAAGACCGACTTTGCATTTCCCAACTCCCATCGATAGTGGAAATAATCGATTTTTTCATGCTTCTACGGCACTTTTCATGTAGTTTGCGGCCATTTTCTACTGGCCAGAGTGAGAGCCTATAGCTGGCTGCCACGAATAGCCAGGAAGATTCTATTGGACAGCGTGAGAGCCAACAGCTGACTGACACGAATGTTAACTAGCATGTTAGCGTGCAAAAAAAATCGATAGCTGCATTCGTCACAAATGGGAAAAAATTAAATCTGCATGGCACTTTACGCCAATTTGCTCATTCGCTTGCTTAAACTCAACGTTGATTCTGATTCCGCAGAACTGGGTTGGGTGTGAAAAAGTATTTGTTGTTAACATTCTTTTTTTCATTCGGTTTTTCCAGTTACGAGTCCTTTTTTTTAAAGCTGATGGTTTTGTGTTCATTTTGTTTAGTTCTTTTTTCGTAACAGATTTAATGTTTAGTATAGAGCTTAGAAAAAATTCGCAGTATGAGATAGGCAAGAAGTAAGGCATGTAGCAACATCAGCACGGCAAAGGGCACTTCTTTAAAGGCAAGGAAGGGTCAAAATATTTTAAGTCAAGTGATAGCGATTGCTGTATGAGTCGTACGATTTTTGAATCAAGCACGGGCAACGCCTGGCCATGCTGCTAGTTATTAAGTAAGACGGGGATTTGGCTAGAAAAAAAAGAAAGAAAGAAAGAAAGAAAGAAAGAAAGGTAAGAAAAGTAAGAAAGAAGTGCTTGAAGTCTGTTTCAGGGAAATTTCAAATCTTAAAATAATGTTTCTCGTATGTATTTTTTGTCACGAATATTACAGGCGATCGAGTAAATTTCTTCTTCATGTTTTAGCTTTTTAGTTTATTTTGTTTATTATTGGCTAAGTTTTTATTGTTTTAGATGTAGTAGTAAGAAATTTTATGTTGAGTTCAGATAAACCTCAAGGAATCTAAATAAAAAAATTATATGAACACAAAAGGGACATGTTACAAAACAATACGTTAAATTCATCAGTTGCTCACTGTAATGAGACTGACCACAATTTTGACATCAAAAAGTCTACTCTGATCAAAGGAGAAAAGAATTCACTATGACGAAAATGACTAGAGAGTGCTTTGATTGCAAGTTAATACACAGTAAATTTGTGCCCGGGCTTTTACAACATTTCACTATTTCTGGAAAGATCTTCTATTATTACATATCTAATAACAAAAGTAACGGAAAGAAAAAGAATTGTAATGAATTTCAAATTCCCAGCATCCTTTGTTCGTGTGAATTTGCACCAATGTCAGAAATTTAATCCAATGAATTCCTAAAGGACGAAACGCGTCACACGATAACGTTTTCCACTTTGCCATATATATATATATATATATATATATATATATATATATATATATATATATATATATTATTAAATTGGACAAAGTCCGACAATTTATTAAAAGACATTTTTATATTTAACATTCTTTTTATAGATACAAGTATTTAAGTAAATGCTCTGAATATTTTCTATGAAAAATTTCTCGGACATTCAGGCCGATAAATGTTATTTAATACTGTTTATTATAAACAGAGCATTTACTTAAATACTTGTATTTATAAAAAGAACGTTAAACATAAAAATGTCTTTAATAAATTGGCGGACTTTGTCCAATTCTTAATGTATGATGTCATTTGTTTACATTTGATACGCCATGAGTAGTTATGAATGTTTCGAGATTCATGGAAGATTGAAGTTTATAAGCAGTAAATTCGACTTTGCCTACCGAACGCTCCTTTGTGGCCGAGTCGGTTAAGGCACGTCAGCGTAAATGACGGTTCCGGTTCGAATCCTGTCAAAGGACGAATATTTTCTATGAAAATTTTCTTGGACATTTAGGCCGGTAAATGTTATTTAATACTGTTTATTATAAACAGAGCATTTACTTAAATACTTGTATCTATAAAAAGAATGTTAAACATAAAAATGTCTTTAATATATATATATATATATATATAAGAGTAAGACTAATCAAATCTTATGTCCATCGTCTTTTCATGTTGAATTAAATATAGTCTAATGTTAATTATGTTTTATGAATATGTCCTGAAGATGGTCTACTAGACTGAAACGTCCGACGTTGACATTATATTAACATTAAAACAGAATAATTGCATATTAGGATTTTTGTTTGTTTTTTCCGTATATTTTTCTTCATATATATATATATATATATATATATATATATATATAACGATATATAATTTTATATATCAACAAACATTATTTAGAAAAATATGACAAACTGGAAAGTTTTTTTTTTCGTGACGTGTTTCATCCGTTAAGATTTCATCAGACTGGGCTTTGTTGATGTTGCCATGTCTACACATGCGCACGAAACGAGAGACGCTGGTTTTTTTATATATCACCAACATTGATAAAACCTATACTTAAAGAATGTAAGATCCAAATACCTGCAGTCTTTCACTCCAATACATCAAATACATCCCGATACACTCAAAAGTCATATACAAAAGCTATAGTAGTTCAGTTGATTTTGTTTAGCAACATAGCAACACCTGACTTTATGGCTTCAGCTAAATAAGTTTGAAAAGCAATTGTATATCTTCAACTAGAGATAAAATATACTGTTGGTTATTTTGCTATAAAATGTATTGTTGGTAATTTTAATATAAATCTATGTTGCTGGTAATATTTCATGTAAAATGTATTGCTGGTATTTTTTCACTCCTTCTTTCTCTCTCTCCCTCTGTCTTTCTCTCCTAGTTTTTCTCTCTCTCTCTCTCTCTTTCCCTCTCTCTTTCCCTCTCTCTTTATCTTTCTCTCCTTCTTTCTCTTTCTCTCCGCTCTCTCCTTCTCTCTCTTCCCTCTATTTCTCTCTCTTTCTCTCCTTCTTTCTCTCTCCCCATCTCTCTCTCTCTCCATCTCTCTCTTTCCCTCCCTCTACTTCTCTCTCTTTCCCTCTCTCTTTATCTTTCTCTCCTTATTTTAATTTCTTTCCGCTCTCTCCTTCTCTCTCTTTCCCTCAATTTCTCTCTCTTTCTCTCCTTCTTTCTCTCTCCCCATTTCTCTCTTTCCCTCCCTCTACTTATCTCTCTCTTTCCCTCTCTCTTTATCTTTCTCTCCTTCTTTCTCTTTCTCTCCGCTCTCTCCTTTTCTCTCTTTCCCTCTATTTCTCTCTCTTTCTCTCCTTCTTTCTCTCTCCCCATTTCTCTCTTTCCCTCGCTCTACTTATCTCTCTCTTTCCCTCTCTCTTTATCTTTCTCTCCTTCTTTCTCTTTCTCTCCGCTCACTCTCTTTCTCTCTCTTTCCCTCTATTTCTCTCTCTTTCTCTCCTTTCTCTCTCTTTCTCTCCTTTCTCTCTCTTCCCCTCTCTCTCTCTCCCTCTCTCTTAACACACTTGAACTTCTAATACTGTTAATATTCAAAGATATATCCTATATACGGACAATTATTTAACTTCTTATTTACCGTCACGTAATCTAAAAGTTTGTTTTTCTTTTCTTTTTCATTTTTTTTTAAACCTTTGCGCCTACCACCTTTCTCGATCCAGCGACTCGTCCCTGGGCGACCCTCAAGCCGTCAGCGTTCGGCCCCTACAACCGACAATCGGGCGCGCCTTTCTTTTGGCTTGAAAACTTCTTCGCTCGCACAACCAACTAGTCCCCACCCTGCACATTGTCCTTTGTTTGCTTTGTCCCCCCCACCCCCCGCTCCCAAATACAAAACCGCTGTTTACCCTCACGCTCGCCTGCGCTAATTCAATTGCCCCCCTGACAATAGCGACTATGAGGCACTTGTCACGTGACAGATCGATGACGGAGAGAGATCGATCGATTTTGAATGGAGAGCGCAGGTAGCTGATTCTGACATGCGTTGCATTGGCGTAGAAAGAAAAAGTATATTTTTTTCTCATAGGAACAAACTGAGATAGATAGATAGATAGATAGATAGATAGATAGATAGATAGATAGATAATGCAAACACATACATAGATAGATAGATAGATAGATAGATAGATAGATAGATAGATAGATAATGCAAACACATAGATAGATAGATAGATAGATAGATAGATAGATAGATATTGTAGACAAACACATAGATAGATAGATAGATAGATAGATAGATAGATAGATAGATAGATAGATAGATATTGTACACAAACACATAGATAGATAGATAATGTAGACAAACACACAGATAGATAGATAGATAGATATTGTAGACAAACACAGATAGATAGATAGATAGATAGATAGATAGATATTGTAGACAAACACATAGATAGATAGATAGATAGATAGATAGATAGATAGATAGATAGATAGATAGATAGATAGATATTGTACACAAACACATAGATAGATAGATAGATAATGTAGACAAACACACAGATAGATAGATATTGTAGACAAACACATAGATAGATAGATAGATAGATAGATAGATAGATAGATAGATAGATAGATAGATAGATAATGCAAACATAGATAGATAGATAGATAGATAGATAGATAGATAGATAATGTAGACAAACACATCAGATAGATAGATAGATAATGTAGACAAACACACAGATAGATAGATAGATAGATAGATAGATAGATAGATAGATATTGTAGACAAACACATAGATAGATAGATAGATAGATAGATAGATAGATAGATAGATAGATAGATATTGTAGACAAACACATAGATAGATAGATAGATAGATAGATAGATAGATAGATAGATAGATAGATAGATAATGTAGACAAACACACAGATAGATAGATAATGTAGACAAACACATAGATAGATAGATAGATAGATAGATAGATAGATAGATAGATAGATAGATAGATAGGCAGGAATACAGGTATAAATATAAACTGACAATCAGATAGACAGATCCATGGTTATATGGACAGGTAGAAGAAAAGAGACGCAGATGAACAGAGACAGACTGAAATACAAGTAATCAAACAGATCGACAAACAGCCAAACCGACAGATAGGGAAAATGACGGGGAGGCAGACAGCTGAACAGCTAAGTAGACAGACAACCAGATAGGGAGACACACACAGACAGACACTCAGACAGGCGGACACACAGTTAGATAGTCAGAAAGAATTGAAATCTGGGATAGAAAGATCTGAATAGACAGAGATGAACAGTCTGAGATAGATAAGACCCTTACTTTTTTAGTGAGTGCGATTCTCACTGAGTACCGTCTTGTTGTTTTCTAAATAATCTTTGTTGATATATAAAATTATATATCGTTATGTCATATTTATATATATATATATATATATATATATATATATATATATATATATATATATATGTATATATATATATATATATATTATGTGAGATTATAATAAATATATTTTGAAATCGCTACATAAAACCTTTCATGTTTCAATACTATGATTGTCTTTCTTCAGGCGATAAAATTATTGCATTGAAACATGGAAGTTTTAAGGATTTCAAATGTTTTATTATAATCTCTTATAATAAAAAATATATATATATATATATATATATATATATATATATATATATATATATATATTATAAGAGATTATGCTAAAACATTTCAAAATCGCTATACAAATGTGTATATACATATATAAGAGGTTATACTAAAAACATTTCAAAATATTTATTATAATCTCTTATAATAAAATATTATATATATATATATATATATATATATATTATAACAGATTATACTAAAACATTTCGAAATCGCTACACAAAAAAGCTTTTATGCAAATTGTCAGGCAAATGTAAATTTAGTAAATAACTGAAGCGACTCAGATAAATGGGAAAATGATAAATAAATACCGATTGAAAAAATAAACTGCAAAGTTTAAGAGAACGGAAGTTGTGGAGAGCCATAACCGCCTTAAATAATAAAACAAAAATAAGCGCAAGAAATGTAGTCATAGCTAGGTAAATGAAATGACTAATCGATATCTTCAGGGGACATTTCTCTCTGCTGTTAACTACTGTAATGAGAAAGGACGGCTTAGAGAATTTGATCCTCACAGGGCATATCAAGGGCAAGAGGGACATAGGGCAAGACCGATGGACACGACCCTGATGCGCTTGTGTGCATGGATGGCGTGACTGAGGCTTTGAACTGGTTGATCCCTCTCCTTATTGTCTTGATTTGGCCTCATCTGACTATCATCAGTTCTCCAAAATGAAAAAAAAAGCAATTGGCTGGGAACCATTCCTGAAGTGAAGATGGCGTCATTGATGCTGCTGATGGCATTTTCGACCAACAGGATGAACAGACATCTTTGAGAAATTCAGATGTTAGTTTTTAAAAAAATAACCTCGCGTCACATCCTTCGAGGGGAAGTCAGGTAAATAAAATCATCAATGAAATTGGAATCAGCATACTGTTTAAATTCCACGCTAGATAGATAGATAGATAGATAGATAGATAATGCAAACAAACACATAGATAGATAGATAGATAGATAGATAGATAGATAGATAGATAGATAGATAGATAATGCAAACAAACACATAGATAGATAGATAGATAGATAGATAGATAGATAGATAGATAGATAGATAGATAGATATTGTAGACAAACACATAGATAGATAGATAATGTAGACAAACACACAGATAGATAGATAGATAGATAGATAGATAGATAGATAGATAGATAAATCTGTCTCTTCTCTCCCCAGCTATGGGTTAAATATTGGCATACAATGACTAGTCTGAATTCAAAACCATTAAGAACGTCAACAGGAAATCTACTACATTGTTTTTCCTAAGTGCACTGAACTGCTATGTAATGTCAATTCTCCTATACGTCAGTGAATGCTGAACAATTTCATCACTGACGTTCTCGCAATTCCCACCTGTGGAAGTCCTTTATTATTTCTTGCTTCCCTGATAACTACAATCTTCAAAAATTTAACGTTAATCACCATCTTCTGTTTTCTTGAATCCTGTCCCTTTATTGTCACTTCTCCTCCCTAAAGTCTTCTCATTCTCTTTCACATTCAGTATTCCCTTGCGTCTTAGTGACAATATCGCCTTGCTTAGGATGAAACGATTAAAAAAAACTTGCTACAAGTACCAATAGTTTATGGTGTCTAGCTTTTACAGTATTAGCTTTTACGCATATTTTGTAAACAATTTAGAATCTTGACCAAGACTCTAGTTGCTTAACTTATGCGCAAGTAATAGCAATCAAACTTGGTTGCTTTTTTTTTTCTCTGTTCTGTCTAACGAATAGAAAAGCAAGAGACAACGATATAAATAAAACTGATAGAATCCTTGAATACAGTTTAAAAAAGGAATCAAACGCAGTCGGGATCATCGACTCAATGCGAACGATACTTAGCTGCAGAGGATTTGTTTCGCCAGGGCTACATACTGTTTTGAATTCAGAGTTTTCCTTCTCCTAGATCAGTTGCCACCCAAGGCTATAGAACCAACCCAGTCTGTTAAGGAGTCGATCGTAGTCGGGATCATCGAGTCAATGAGAACGATCCTTTTCTTTAGATGTATAGTATGTGCTTCGCCAGGGCTACATACTGTTTTGAATTCAGAGTTTTCCTTCACCTAGACCGGTTGCTACCCAAAGCTATAGAACCCATTCTGTTCTACTATTTAGCCATAGCGGGGGGAGATAAGTTGGTTTCATATGTTTCCTAATTGTATTAGAACCGAAGGGTATGTAATGAATTCGACTGAGATCCGAATTCGGTTCTCCGATGCCTCAATTCTACTCTGCTTAATTTCGTCATTTTCTTTCGGCTTTTTACTCTCCTGCCAACTACGATCTTTAAAAATTGCAACGTCAATCGACATCTTCTCTCCCAGTTGTTCCTAAAACGGTGGGACGTGCTTCATGGGTGCGGCGGAAGAGGATAGCGGGTGAGGCGGAAGAGGATAGCAGGTGAGGCAGAAGAGGATAGCAGGTGAGGCGGAAGAGGATAGCAGGTGAGGCAGAAGAGGATAGCAGGTGAGGCAGAAGAGGATAGCAGGTGAGGCGGAATGATTGAAAGACAATCAAAGATTTAGAAACAGTTTCAAATATTCATATGACAAAAATAAATATGATTTTAAAATTTGAAATATTATTATCGATTACTTGTAACTGAATGCATGAATCTCAGTATAAATAGTTATAAATAATTGTTGGTCGATTTTATCATTGTGATATTTTCGCATTATGTCAAGTATTAAGAATATAGTAACTAGGGTCTGCAAATTGGAGAAGAGAGTTATCAATGATAATGTTCTGATTTTGATATCCGGGGTTATCTCCCTTTAACTCTCTCTCTCTCTCTCTCTCTCTCTCTCTCTCTCTCTCTCTCTCTCTCTCTCTCTGTTTTTTTATGTACATTTTATCACATAAAATTTGTTGAGGCGCGAGTAAATTTTTCTTCCGAAAATGCAGCACGGAGAAAAAAGTTTGGGAATCACTGTAATCCCATTTAATACCTTTTTTTTTTCACTCTCAGTTTATCCCTCCCCTCTTTGCTTCTTAGTGGCTTTATCGCCTTACTTGGGGTGAATTGATATTGAAAAAACTCTTTGTTTAATCGTATTTGTTTTTTGTTATATTTTATTTTATGTTAATTGCCACGCATACATCATTGATGCACTTACTTAAAATTTTGTCAAATTTAAGAGTACAAGGTGCTCCGAAAGTCTTGTTACCCCTACATAATATAATTTTCTATTTCAGCACTCTGTGGGGTATTATCAAGGAGAGAGTTTCATATAAACGTTACCGGAATACCCATCACTTGAATGACGCCGTTAGGAGAGCCTTTGCAATAATCAACAATGCACAACTTCGTAAAATATCACATCATTTCGTGCCACGGAAATGATGGTCGTTCATAAAGACCTTCTCGATGTGTGACGCCGTCAATGAAAGGGAATAAACTGAATCCAGTACATGTGTTTTGTATTACAGTCTTACTTTTTGTTCTATTGTCCTCATTATTTTTTGATAGGGGGGTGACAAAACTTTCGGACCACCTGTACAGTTGCGTATAAACGAGTTGTTTTTGTATTTTTTAAATTTGTGTGCTTCACAAATAAGACGTGGGAGGAGGTATCTTTAGACGTTTTTCGGGAGGGTGGAGTCGCATGTCGTATATGCCGTCAAATATACCAACCGCTGACAGTAATCGAGACAAAATGTTGACGTTTAACTTAAACAAAAGGTTAGGTTTGGTTTGGTTTATTTTGTTTTACGGCATATCAACCTCAATGGGTTATTTAATGCCGACAACATTTTTATTGCTGGTAATATTTTTTTTTTCAAAAATGTATTGCTGGTAATTTTTTTTAAATGTATAGCTGGTATTTTTTTCAAAAAATTATTGCTGGTATTTTTTTAAATGTATAGCTGGTAATTTTTTCATAAATGTATTGCTGGTATTTTTTTAAATATATAGCTGGTATTTTTTTCCAAAATGTATTGCTGGTATTTTTTTAAATGTATAGCTGGTAATTTTTTCATAAATGTATTGCTGGTATTTTTTTAAATATATATCTGGTATTTTTTTTTCAAAAATGTATTGCTGGTATTTTTTTAAATGTATAGCTGGTAATTTTTTAATAAATGTATTGCTGGTATTTTTTTAAATATATAGCTGGTATTTTTTTCAAAAATGTATTGCTGGTAATTTTTTTTTAAATGTATAGCTGGTATTTTTTGAAAAATGTATTGCTGGTAATTTTTTTAAATGTATAGCTGGTATTTTTTCAAAAATGTATTGCTGGTAATTTTTTTAAAATGTATAGCTGGTATTTTTTTTTTCAAAAATGTATTGCTGGTAATTTTTTATTAATGTATAACCGGTATTTTTTTCAAAAATATATTGCTGGTAATAATTTTTCTCCAAAAATTTATTGTTGGTAATAATTTTTTAACAAAGTATTTCTGGTATTAAAACCTATTTTTACACTTTCATAGTGTTTTGACCCCAGTTGGGGAGTTAACTATTTACTCATAGCTGGAACCCTAACAGGTGCTACAACCCCGGATCAGGGTGGCCCTGGGAACACCAGCAATTAAAATGTGTTTCCACGCTTCTCAAAACCTCCAACCACCCAATCAGAGGCCTTGATGTCAGATGTAGTTTATCGTGATACCCAGGACTTGAATATTTTGATATTTTGGTCGGTGTAATCTCCAACCTTCCTCAGGTGTCCGCTCTATTCGAAGACATTCAGAGAACGCTGAATATTTCGTGCTGATTGGATTGGGCGATTTTTTTCTCATGTTGATATTCGTCTAAGGGGTATAATTAAATACCCTAGATGAATAAAAGAATCGACCAATACCATCCGGACGATAGTGGTAGAGCGGTATCCTCTTTATAATTCTGTAATGTTCTACCACTTTTGACTATTAATTGTTCTTTTATTGTCTTCTCTTCTTAAACTGTTTTCCTCCTTGTGATTATCCCTTGCTTCTTATTGGCTTCATTGTCTTGCTTGGGTTGAAATGGTGTTTAAAAGTCACTATGATGGTGGGGGTCTTCGTGCGTCTTACTGACTTTATCGCCTTGCCTGGGGTGAAATGGTTTTTACAAAAAAAGATCATTATACCGGTGCCGGCCTTGGGCGTGGTAATGGCTTTATTGCCTTGCTTGGGGTGAAATGATTTTTACAAAAAAAAGATCATTATACCGGTGCCGGTCTTGGGCGTGGTAATGGCTTTATCGCCTTGCTTGGGGTGAAATGATTTTAAAAAAGATCATTATGACGGCGCCGGTGGCAGTGGTGGCTCTAGGGCGTCGTAGTGGTTTTATTACTTTGCTTGTATATGAAATTATTTTTTTAAAAAGATCATTATGACGGTGCCGATGATGGTGGTGGTCTTGGTGCGTCTTAGTGACTTTATTGCCTTGCTCGGAATGAAATGATTAAAAAAAAAAGATCACTATGACGGTGCTGGTGGCAGTGGTGGTCATGGTGCGTCTTAGTGGCCTTATTGTCTTGCTTATGGTGAACTGATTTAAAAAAAAAAAGATCACTATGACAGTGTCGGCGGCAAGTTTTTTTTAAGCATTTCACCCCAAGTAAGACGGGAGTGCCACTAGCCCGCAAGGGGTTACAGAGAGTGGGAGCAAGAGTAAAGAGGCGGCGTGATAGAGGAAAGGATGAAAAGAAGGACGAAGAATTAGATCAAGGCATCTGGAGATGTCGATTGACATTGCATTTGAATAATTGAAGATTATAGCTATCAGGGAAGCAAGTAAGAGGAACGGAAATCCACAGACGGTAAGTACAAGACATGAAGCTATTGGAGTAGAAGAGACGGCTACATTTAACCGTTTCGACAGTGAAAGGGTGGGACCGAGATGCCAATCAAGTAACACGTTTAAATTCATGCAGTTTGGGAACTAGCGAAAGTATCTCGTCGGAGCAGATATCTTGAAAGTATTTGTGGAAAAGACAGACGTAAGCGACAGCACATCTGGGAGAGAGAGAGACTGTAAAGGGGATGTAGTGGTGGCCTTGGTGCGTAATCTCCCACAGATCACCCAAGACAATACCCAAGGCATGAATAATAGCAACTAATTTACTAGTTGTTAATTTGACCTCCTTTGCGAGTTAGTACATTTTACAGCAACAGTTTCGACGACTAATAAACCAAAAAAAAACAAATTCAATACACGCCGAGAGCAATAAATCCTTCCTCATGAAATTCACAATGTTAAACAATTTCAAAATAATAAATTCATCTCCAAATATCAGATCACTCAACGAGTATTACTGATACCATGTTACCCATTTCTACTTGCCGAATGGTCGGGTAATCGATGACTAAACCGGTTCCCCCACCAAGCTTTTCTGATGAAGAGGAGGGGAAGGGTGGCTAGACATGCAGCAGAATTATAAAACAATGTCAAAGGCTCGGAGGAACATTCTTGTAGAGTCAATCAGCAGCCATCTGGCACAATGAAGTAGACTGGACTCCATGGCTATGGATGGCTCCAGTGTGGTGATGATATCGCTAGACGTATGGCTTCTTGAACTGAAGTCAAACGAATGTGCAGACTGTTCTTCAGATGCAATCAACGTCCATGTGTTCGCGAGCCTTCAAGTTGGAACCTGGAGAGGGATAGGCTCCGCCAGGTCTACCTGCCTGAGACACGCAATGAATAATTTTTTCTTTTTTTTTTTTTTTTACTAATGTTTACCCAAGACAAGGCCAAAGCGCCACTCAAGGTAGAGGTTTACTGTGTGAATTTGTGGGCGATTAGAGTAAGAACAGACAAGGAGTACAGAGCTGAAGCAGACTTGAGAAGAAACCGGAAACTCAATCCTAAACAGGAAACAAACGATAATTCTCTACTCCTGTTTGAAATCCCAAGGAGGAGCGTGAACCGAGTGATAGGTGAACCTATCTCCTCTTATTGAGAGAAAATAAATAAATAAATAGTAAATAAAATTTCAGCTTTTATGTGGAGGTGTTAGAAGTATAGAGTTTATAGATTTTATAGATTTTAGAAGGAACATGAAACCCATTCCTAAAGTGGAAACAAGAGATAAATCCCTAGCGCTGTTCCTAAGACCGGGGAGGAGTGTGAACTGGACAATAGGCGAACCTATCTAATCAGACATGTTGGGAAATGTTCTTTTACTAGTTTTCCTATTTGGGAAACTTGGGCAATTAGCCAATCCAATCATCGGTTTATTGAAATATATCAAGACATCTAAAAAAAAAAAATTTTTTTAAATAAAAAGCGTAAATTCATACTCATTTCAAAGTGTTAAAAAAAACTGATTTTTCATTTTGCTTGAAAAATTGAAATCATACCACGCAAAAACTTGCGCAGAATCTCCCTCGCTTCCTTTAATCTCGGCCCAAGCAGTTGTCCGAATGACAGGACATTAACAGAAGACTAACGATGGAAACAAATGATGAAATGTTTATACCCGACCACAAGGGGAACACTTATATTCGATCCATCACTAAAGATGCCGGTAAAATGACTGGCTCCCTCTACAGCTCCAGTCTGTACCTGACTCCTCATGCTATCATCTACCTTTATAAGAGCCAGATCAGACCGAAAATGGAGTACTGTTGCCATATTTGGGCAGGAGCTGTCCAATACTCACTTTCCAGCCTTGATTGAGTTCAGAAGTGTCTCCGAGTCTTTGTCGGAGAAAAATTATTTCCAACTTCCAACCTCTCACTCTCACAGGCGCGATGTGGCGAGCCTCTCATGGCTCTATCGCTTCTTCCATGGAAAGTGCTCAGACGAACTACATACTTTTCTTCCGCCAGGCTTAACCTTCATGGCCAGGACCCGCCATGCCACTTACATAGTATCAAACCACCCACATTCCCCCCGTATTCCATCGGAGAGATGTAAATTCAACTCAAACACATTCTTTCCGCTAACCATTTGTGGAACCGACTCCCAAGAAGATGTTTCCTCAATCACTACAATCTTAAACTGTTCAAGTCTAGAGTTAACCGTTATCTTCCACTCCTATCCATATAACGTAACCCTCTACCTTGAGTGCCCTCCGAACCTTGTACAGTTTGAACCTTACTATAAAAAAAAATAAAAAAATACTTTCTCTTCTTTGAAGACATTAATTGATTAAGCGCCCGTAAACTCCATGATTCTTTCGTTAGCTCCATAATGTGTGTTTCGCCAGGGCTACATCTTCTATTTTATGTGCCGTGTCCCTTCAGGACATTGGCGATTATGGTTCTCCACAATTTCCTGTTCTTCGTAACTATTAATAAATTTTGTCTTTTTGTTATTTCTCCTAAACCTTGTCCCGCCATCCATTTACTCAAGCCCACTAAGTGAAGCATTGGGTTGATGTCCTCTCGAGGAGGCACCTCGCCTTGAGAGAATATTAGGACTCAAACTCATACCTGACCACAAGGGGAACACTTATATTCGATCCATCGCTAAAGATGCAGGTAAAATGGAGTACTGTTGCCATATTTGGACAGGAGCTGGCGGGCCCTTACTTTCCAGTCTTGGTAGAATTCAAAAGCGTCTCTGAATCCTTGTGAGAGAAGAATTATTTTCAACCCTCTCACCTCTCTACTACCATGGAAAGTGTTCGGGTGAACTACATTCCTTCGTTCCGCTAGGCCTAACCTTCATGGCCAGGACCCGCCATGCCACTTACAAACAACCACGTTTCCTACGTATTCTATCGGCGAGAAGTGAGTTCCACTCTAACAGCTTCTTCCTGCGAACCACAGCTCTATGGAACCAACTCCCAAGAGGATCTTAACCTGTTCAAGTCTAGAGTTAAACGTTATTTTAATGTAACTCTCTACTGCGAGTACAGGGTGAAACTTATTGTAAAAAAAAGATAGAGGTTTGTCTATCCCAAGCAATACCTCTTCCTCGGGATAAATATAGGGTCATAACCTGATGCCCGAGGCTTCCCCAAATGTGGAAGCGTTTACGAGGTTGGATTATTTTGGGACTCTAGTCATTTGAGGTCCCAACTTTAAATTCGGCCTTTCGATTGAGCGTTCAGATAAATATCATACCGATGACTATATAATAATTCAACTGATGGTTGCGTGTCAGGCTACGTACCTGTTGATCTATCTTCATAAGTATCTGAGGTTTAAATACTTTAAAATCTGGAGGTGTATAAAACGGATAAATAATGCGTGTTGTTCAAGGGTGGACTGGAAGCGTGGAGCGTACTAGAAACACCCATCAGTTCTTTTATTGTTTCATGAAAACCTAATGCCCAAAGAAAGTATTTCAACCTGTGTCATTAGAACGAAAGAAAGAAACAAAGAAATAACAAGTGAATAAAGAATGAGGGGGAGAGATGGGGAGGCAAAAGATAAAATGGCGTCTAAATGATGCGATAAATGCCTTGAGAATGGATTTTGTAGACAAAACATGCGAAGTGGAAATGGCGAGAAGCGGACGATGACTTGGCTGTTCGGAGAACGAATGAAAGTTGTTTTGAAATATAAACCATTCTTCTGGTCTCACCTATCATCACCTGATAGGACACAGCGAGAATGATGGTATTAGTGGTGTTGGTGGTAGGGATGGGGTGAGATAAGAAAAGAGGGGGGGAATGGTGACAGTCATTATGATGGTGCCAATATTTGTTGGTGGTAATGCTAACGGTGAGAAGAAAGAAAGAAAGAAAGAAAGAAAGAAAGAAAGAAAGGAGACACACAAAATGAAAGAAAAAAGAAAGAAAGGAGATGGAAAAGAGGAGAAAGAAACTATAAGAAAGAAAGAAAGAAAGAAACAAAGAAACAAACAAACAAACAAACAAACAAACAAAGGAAGAAAGAAGGATATTCGTTACTCACTAGCCAGATAATTGAATTACTGCACCTGCTCGATTTTGACATCCCTGAGAAAGAAAGAAAGAAAGAAAGAAAGAAAGAAAGAAAGAAATTCTTTACTCACTAGCCAAAAAGTTGAATTGCCTCAACTGCTTTCTTTTGACGGATCTGAGAAAGAAAGAAAGAAAGAAAGAAAGAAAGAAAGAAAGAAAGAAGCAAACAAATAAACAAAAACAAAAAACAAATGAAGAAAAGAAAGAAAAAAAGAAAGAAAAAAAGAAAGAAAGAAAGAAAGAAAGAAAGAAAGAAAAAAAAAAAAAAAGACAAATGAAAGAAAAGAAAGAAAGAAAAGCAAACAAATAAACAAAAAAAAAAAAAACAAAATGAAGGAAAAACAAATGAAAGAAAGAAAGAAAGAAAGAAAGAAAGAAAGAAAGAAAGAAGCAAACAAATAAACAAAAACAAAAAAGACAAATGAAGGAGAAAGAAAGAAAGAAAGAAAGAAAGAAAGAAAGAAAGAAAGAAAGAAAGAAAGAAGCAAACAAATAAACAAAAAACAAAAAAGACAAATGAAGGAGAAAGAAAGAAAGAAAAAAAGCAAACAAATAAACAAAAAACAAAAAGAAAATGAAGAAAAGAAAGAAAAGAAAAAAGAAATAAACAAAAAAAAAAAAAAGACAAATGAAGGAATAAACAAAAAAAAAAAAAGAAAAATGAAGAAAGAAAAGAAAGAAAGAAAGAAAGAAAGAAAGAAAGAAAGAAGCAAACAAACAAATGGAGGAGAAACAAACAATGAGAGAAAAAAGAAATAAAGAAATGGAGGAGAAACAGAAAGAAAGAAAGAAACAAACAAACAAACAAAGAACATTGAGAAAGAAAGGAAGAGAAAAAGATAATGATGAAAAATGAAACGAAATGAAAATGACAACGAAATTTAAAATAGAATAATATATCCCAAATTCTAAAAATGGCTAAATACACTCCTAATGAGACTACTACTACAAAATCTATTGACTGTACTCCTGATCAAAATAAACCCGACTGATCGTGTGCCGTTACGCTGTGAACAAAGGTAATCTAGGGAGGCTGCATCCGACGTCCCGTTGTCGATTTCCAAGTTTCACAGCTTCCATTTTTGAATTGCAAGAACGGAGGTGCAAATGATTAGCGACGAGTCGGGAAACAAATGAAAATAGCAAGAGCGACGTACGCATAAAGCAAAGGACAAAAAAGAAAGAAATTATATGGAAAAAAAAATATATCACTTTCAGTGAAAGGTGGACGTGTGATTGGGAGAATTTCTCGGCAAACAGACGACACCGGCGCAATAAAGCAACGACCGGAAGTAGACGCCATTAAAGAAGAGAAAAAAAAACACGTTCATTTGAGAAAGCAAAGGAAAATGATGGAAAATGTTTGTTAATAAAAATAATGAAATGAGAGGTTAAAATGAAGAAGAAATTTCGTGAAATCAACTGAAACGTTTTTTTTTTTTTTTTTTTTTTTTTTTTTTTTTGCTTTTGTTTTGTTTGGAAAGGATCTTATTGAAAAGATGAACATACGATAGTGACCATTATGGCAGACATGATGCCACCACTGATTGTTAGAAACAGAAATGGTGGCTATGGTAATAATGTGATAATGATCTTGGCAAGAAGCTAATGGTAATTGCCGTGTTAAAAATACAGAGATGGCGACGGGAGAAACTGCATTGCAATGGCAGTAGTCGTTAAAGTTGCAATTTTAGTTTATGAATGAAAAAGTGTCTTCGGGCAACAGAAATATGGTTCTACAGAAAGATGGACTGAACATGTATGAAATGACGAAGTTTTAGAGAAAATCGAAAGCAAAGGACAATTTATACTTAACATCAGTTTAAATTTCCGAAGCGCATAATGAGGACAGAGAGCTTGGAAAATTTAACACCCACAGGACAGATTGAAGGCAAAAGGGACAAAGAAAAACAGTACACATGCCACCTAACCAATCTGTGTTTCTAAAGGAATTAGCGTAACTTAGGCCCTACTATATGGCAGTGAAGAGTAAACAATCTTATTACAAGTGAAGAGGCTTGTGGCCAAAGAAATGTAGTTCTACATAAGGATGGACTGAACAATGACAAAGTTTAAGTGAAAATGGAAACAAAAAGGACACTTATACTGAGCACCAGAATGAGATACTTGAAACTACTAGTGTACATAATGAGGAAAGAGGGTTTGGAAAATAGGAAACTCACAGGACAGATTGACGACAAGCGCAACAGAGGAAAACAATGCATAACATGCTTCGCAAGCATGAATAAAAGGATGACGGAACAAGGTTTAGGAGATATAGCAAAAAGAAAAAAATCATAAAGAGCTACAAAGGACAGGGAATTCTAGAGAGCCATGATCGCCTACGTCCTGGAGGGACACGGCACATTGAAGAAGAATATTTGTTAAAATGGTCAATTTTTCTAGAAGGCAAATGTTACATCTTTCCCCCTCATCATTTTAATTTTAGTTCTTGCCATCATTTCCAGCGTAATATCTGGTACGGTTCGACTATCTTTTGACAAGATAAGTCATTAGACAACAGAAATGTGGCTCTACAGAAGGATGCTGAGAATACATATGAGCAATGATGAAGTTTGAGAGAAAATGTACACCTATACTGAGCAATGAGGATAGAGGGCTTAGAAAATTTGTCACTGACAGGACTTATTGAAGACGAGGGAGTGGGGAAACAGTGACTAAGCTACCTAATGACGTTGTGTAAATGGTTATCAGGTTAGGAGAAATAGCAAAAAGACAAAAAGGGCTAAGGGCTACAAAGGACAGGAAATTGTGGTGAGTCGTGATCGACCACGTCCTGAAGGGGCACGGCGTATAGAAGGAGTGAGAGGAGCAAAAAATGATAATAGCGTCGGCTATCATCGAGTGAGTATTCGTAGTTCAGTCGATATCGATTCATTTAGTTACCTTCCCTAATTTGGTATACGTAATGTTTAAAATTAATTTTTAAAAATGAAAAAGTTGTCTTGAAGCTTTCACTTTAACTTTAATTGAAAACTAAAGGATTTAAAATTTACTAATTCCAATAAGCAAAATACTCTGTGGTGTATTTCAAACAGAAGTTACATTGATTGAAATCGCCTTTTTTCAGCAAAATCGAGGAAATGGGCCATTTTGAAACATTTGTAAACAAAAGTTAATTTCAAGTTTTAAAATTTTGCAAAAATAAAATATATGTTTCTAAAACGTTTTTTTGAGGAAAATTAGCAAATTTAAAGTTAAATTAGGCTTATTTGAAACAAATATTACTTATAGCATAAATTGTTGTATGCAAGCATTTCTTAACCAAGGGGTCTTGTTTTTCTGACGTGTCGATCGATTTATCGAGCGCCTAACATGTTGACAAGTATGGTGATGCGGAAATGATAGCAGACGATAAATTTTATATGAGGATTTTTCTGTAAGT